AAACAACGACAGAAAGGTCACACTTTAAGTGTTTGTGTTTGTAACTGAATGAAGTAAGAAAAATATGGACGTCCAAGTCAAATTCATTTTGTTGTGATGTGTATCCACAACTATAGGACTCATTATTCGATCAATGCAGCGGCATGCACAAACCAGAAGGAGGAGGATAAAGTTTTCCAATGAGTCAGCCTCGAAGTAAAAAATGTCTCGCTTGCAAAAGTTCGTTGAGTTACATCGATGGCGTTCATAGCATAATTAATTCAGAGATGAATAGTCTCGCAAAACATTATAGGAAATATCAATGAGATATTGCATCAAATTTCGCAATGTCTTGCTGGAAATAACTAAACATGTCCAACACGTCCACAAGACACCTCAACAGGATATCACAGCTACACGAACATGGATACAATAAGTTCTTAATTTATTTAGAAAATCAATATAGAAATGATGAGAAAAGCAGCTTGATTGTTTCCCAATGAGGAAGCAGAGATCATCGTTAATCATACATAGTCACTTTTAATGACAAGTTTTAATAAAACCTCTTGAAAACTATTCTTGTTTCACTCTCTTTTTTCACATCGCCACTGTAACCTGTCACAGAAACAGTGTCGTACTCTTCCTCTGGTCACAGCCAGTATTCCATAGATGTTCTCCCTCCGTTGACATGGCCACCCTTGCTGCATGAGTTCAATTTTTAGAAAACTGCCGGTACTTTCCCGCTATTTGGAACCATATTGATTTTTGACTAATTTTATTGAATATTCTGTACCTTTCACAGATATCTGATTTATTGTTTGAGCAAAGGTATCTAGTTGTCACGTGTCATGAAAAAATTAACACGTGTCCGCTCCAACTGTTATCGTTAATAATTCCGTTGTCAGAGTTAGAGCAATTAGAGGAGTAAGCTTTTTTGCTCATTTTGAACTCTCTAAGATGGCTGAGCCCAACCTGGAACATTCTGATCATCTTTGGCAGCATTTAAATGAATGTTTATCTTCACTGCTGTCGCCGCCAAATTTTACCACGCATAAAACTAGGTGATGGTGCGCTGTTATCTATGACGGTTGCTATTTACTTATTGTTAGCTC